AGTTTAGCGCGATAAGCTGCCTCAATCCTATTTTATTCCATGTTGGCCGATTCTTCTACCCTAAGATAGCACTTGTATTGAATAACTTTCTTTTAGTAAGCTTACAACTTTTTCATAACGGCGAAAGTGGAAATAAAATGTCTTTTCTTATAAACCTTCAGCCTTCAGTTCCCTGCCAGGTATGTTGTTGTGCCTTGTTAACCATACTACGTACCAGAGCTTCTATAGACAATTCGCAGACACTAATCAGGTAACAGATTCGACTCTCTAATCTCAAGTTTCTTAGAGCAGATACCACGTCCCTGTTGTGTGCTTCTGACCCATCCGCTTAAAAGTGAATCTAGTACATACTCGAACAATCCAATTCTCTAGGTATATTGAAACAATACCTTGCCATTCTGTCAGGTGAGTTTTCGAGTTCAGTGACTACATTCTGTTTTCCAGGTGTATTATGCAAAAGAAAACTTTATATTCCAGTGAAAGTAATATCCCTTTATTCCATCTCCATTGGCAAGTTGGGTGCACAGCATAAAGGTTACCCTTTGCGAATATACAAAAAAGCTTCACTGTAGATGAAAGGTCCAGATTAACAGTTCGATGCATAAGAACCTCTTGATCAAGCACACGGAGCTTCTGACGAGTCCCTATCGATGTCTGTGATCACTTCTGGGCAATTGTTTCCTTTAGATGGTCCAATTGCTGACAGTGCAAGTCTAAATTAAGAGTTTAGCTATAGAAAAGCAGCTCAAAGTGAATGATTCCTAGTCAATGTCACCAAACACACAACAAACCCTTCATGGTCGTCAGATCGTTAGAGTTCGTTTGCGTTGGCTCAACTAGTACCATTTGAACGAAAAATTTTAGAATATAGCGTATTTTCTCTTAGCTGACATGGAATCAAACTCTACTGAGTTGAGTGATTAAAATTTTCCACTTATTATTTTAAGTACAAATTATCATATTTCTAACTCCATCTAAGGTAATCCAATTGCATTTATAGAACATGAGCTACGAATCACTAAAGCCATCTATTGCAAAAATAATGGATTACTTTATACTTGACCAATATGTATAATACATACAGAAACGATTCTTAGGGAGAGATAAAAAAGTTTTCATAACAAATTCATTGATAAATCTCGTATATATAGACGATCCCTCCATAGATTGTAGGAAAACATTGTCATTACAGCTGAGTCGGTGTGCCGTTGGTTAGTTCAACTATTTTTCATGTTCAAATCTGGCAGATTTTTTAAGAGTGTGACAAGTTTAATTTCAAAAGTTCAGCATGGCTTTAATTTTTCTCACAAATCTACTATCGTTAAACTAAGTTATATTTTTAAAATATCAAATTATTTTTCAATATAATTTCGAATTCTTATTGTATGAGGAGTAAAACATTATTGCCACTAACTTTTAATACGAATAAAAAGCAAGCATTGAATCAACGAAAATAATCTAAAGACCAGACCAGCTTGAAGTCACATGTAAGTTTCCACAAGCAGTTATTATACAAATTTCATAGAATTAAATACGACATAGAATATTTTACCGTAAATAGAAAGAGTTTTTTTACTTTTCAGTAGTTCCAATCGTTATTAATGTATTTGAAAAACAAAACCGCTAATTGCTTTTGGGAAGAACGACAGTCTTTAAGAAGAAACAATTATCTTTATTATTATTAAAACACTTTAAATGGAAATGCACGTGCTCAACAGTGTGACACTGTATTATAAATGTGTATGCGGTCACAAGAGCCGAATGCTTAGTGCATTGCGTTCTAACATTCGCAAGGCGTCCGAGGCGTGGTCCGACCCACAACCAAAATTATGGATAATGATTCTTTTAAATGTGTTCGCAATTCGGCTGGGAGTCTCAAATTAAAGGGTGATTTTTTGAGAGCTATAGGAAAGTTTTTTCAAAAAAAAAAAAAAAAAAAAAAAAAAAAAAAAAAAAAAAAAAAAAAAAAAAAAAATAACACATAAAATTCAAAAAATTACTTGAAATTTTTATTTGAATCGATAGTACGGTCCTTATAATTAGACATAAAGTTCAACATAGTCCCACAAAAAATAGTATCTAGGTCGTACGATCTAGGACATAAACCGCAAAGTATGACTTTTCTGGCTGCATTGATATCTCCTCATCAAGCCCGTCCGCACGAGCTGCGCAGTAAATGTACAAAAATGAGCTTTAAAATCAAGACAAAAAGGCCCGGGAAATTAGAAAATCAAGAAAAAAATGTCTAGACGTTCTAAACGGCGCATTGATTTTGATTTCGGAAAGTACAAGGGGTTTAGTAATTCAGCTTTTATTATATTTACCATGAAAATTACACCAAGCCTTTCTCTGCGTCTAGCAAGAGTCCCCACTCTTAATAAATTTTAGATGACTAGTATATGATGGTTCCAAATTACGGAGTCGCATACAAGAAAAAGTCTTACTAACGTTGTAAACGGATATCTAATAAGATGTTTTCCATCCTCAATTGTTAATGTAATTGTTTGGTGCGATTTATGACCCGACGAGGTCATTGGAATTTCCTTTTTCGAAAATGAGGAAGGGAAAAGTTTCCCACTCGTGTTATCTCTCGAAGAGATGATTGCAATCGGCCACTGAGATCTTGTGATTTAACACCTGGCGACTTCTTCCTTTGGGATCACATAAAAAATAAGGTCTACGCCAACAGGCTAGATTTAATTTGTGAAGCTATTGAGGACTTACTTCAGCCATTTTGGGATTTGGGCATGGAAAATTTCATTAAAAGGATATGATCCTGTAAGCGTAATCGTGGCAACCGTTCGACTGATATGGTTTTCCATTATTAATGGAATATCTTCCTGTTTATATTGATATAAACATACGTTCAGTTATCTCCAAAACTGCAAATTTTTCCATGAATATCAAAATAATATCTTTTATTGAAAAACTCATTATACAAACCTAAGTTACAAAAGGGGCTTTGAGTTCCTTTGATCACTATTTTACAACGCTAATATGCTCTTAGTTTCTACTGACTTCCACACTAATATGAAGGGAAATGTGTACTTTAGGGTCTATAGTGATATCCAGTTAAATAAAAAGCTGAACCCGTTCCAAATTATAATTATTGATTGTGTAAGTTTCTGTCTGTAAAAGAGCTTCTCATAAAAATAGATCGGCCGTTCGGAAGTTCCATCATTTGTTGAGACAACAAGTCGGCCGAAAATCGCTTCAGCGGTTATAAATCGCCAATTATATGTAATAAATACATATATAAATATATATATATGAATAATTTTGTATGTATTATAATATTTTGTAACAATAAATTTGACTAAATCTTCTCATAATTACATGGTCCCGATCACGATCACTTTTTGTTAAGTTCTATTTTTCTATTTATTACCAATAAGCTTAAGCATACGTGTATGTCTTTTTCTTTTAATTTGTCTGCAATTTTTATTATATAAAAACACATTTATGTGTGTATAATGCATGCAAGAGATCATAAATCTTTTTTGGACATTTATATATAACCAACCAAACGATCGCATTTTGTCGCACTTACAAATATGTGCACACCAATTACATCACTTTGAATAGCCGATAAGCCAAAAAAAAATATTTAAAAGTATAATTGCGCATATTATTGAAGTTCAAGGCTGCAAATTTTCACATTTATTTTTAACCATATATGGGTTTTCCATTCCGTTTGACGCAAGTGAAAATTATTATGTAAGACCTTAATGAAGATCAGTGAAGCGAATGATAGGTGAAAGTTTTTATGAAATTCTTTCAAATTATATCTTCTTTAAGCAACACCATATGTTTTTGAATTTATATTTTTAAGAAGAAAAAGATCAATCTTTAAATGGGAAAACTGTTAAAATTGTATGAGATTCTAATCATGAGTTTGAGAGCTATTGGGCTAAAAGTTGCATTGGTTGTTTTCGAAATAATGTATCCAAAACACTTTTTTTGATCAGACAAAAATACTGTTCAAGCGAAAGATGGCTTGAGGAGGACTCCGCTCCGTTTTAAAAACAGCTGACTTCAAATGTGGTCGTAGTGGTGAAGCAGAACGCAGGCGGTAAGAAAAATTGAAAAAGCCTAAAAAACACTTTGAATGAACGAAAACAGAGGTTACGTGAGTTGGCTGACATCAAAGCCCGTGCTGTCTTTATGGTGCATGAGTATTTGACTATAAAAAGATCTGTTCTAAGTGGGTGCGCCTTATTGACCAAAAAAGAAAAGCGTTTCGATGATTCTGAATAGTTTAAACTAGAAGTTTTGAGTATATATGTTGTAATGAAGGAAGCATGGATGCATCACTTCACTTCGGAGTCAAAGCAGTCCCTATCTGAGTGAACAACAACTGTTGAACCTTGTTAAAAGTAGTACAAATGATTACAATTGGTTGGAAGGGTTAAGACCTCAGTAATTAGGGATGTGCGCATTGAAAAGGGAAAAAATATTAACCGAAAATAATATACTCGTTTAGCGGTATTGGAGCATTTGAGGACCGTTATTGCAATAAACAGACCACATATGACAAATTTTGTTTCGTCAAGTAAACGCATCGTGTCATAAGACAATCACAGCGATGCAAAACTATTTAAACTGAACTTGGAAATGCAACCACAGATCTACCACACACCTCAGATTTGACTACTAGAGCCAATGGCTGTTCGCAGATCACAAAAGATTGCTCGTCGTTAAGAAGTTATGCTCGACTGCAGATTTTGTCGTGGAAACTGTGGCATGTTTTGAGACAAAAAAATAAAAAAAAATCGGTCTACAAAAGTAGTGTTGGAATGATTCTTGATGGCGTTTAAAATGATGAATAAAACAAGTTTTGACACAAAAAAGTTTTCCTTGTTAATACCAGGACTTGTCGCATCATATTTTTTTTCTTTAAATCCTATGCAAATATGGCTCTCATATACATTATCAGATAGGATTAAACAGTATTATAAAATTGCTTTATTTTATCTTAAACCATACTAATGGTAACTTACCCCACGACGCTTGATCACGTCCCATAACTGTACCCTCCTCTGAGTTGTAGAGGAACTTACTCATACGAAAGGGTTCGGCTTTACGTTCGTGGAATTCCATGTCCATATTGGACATTTCCATGGGCTGTGGCTTGGACATTTTTGAATTTAGTTGAAAGCGTTACACTGTTTCAAACTTTCGAGCAGTAAGCTCGGTTTTTTCTATAAGTTTTGCACCGTTATTTCACACACACCTTCGAAGTGTTGTACAATATTTATTTTTTAATTTTTTGTCTGCTTTCGTTCTTCAACTATTTTTTTTTTAATTTTTATTTTTATGTATTTTTCTCATGTAAATGTATGCTGCCTATTACTGTTATAGTATTATATACATATATTACCTATATAACATAATTAAAACAATAAAAAATAACACTAATATTCAATTTACATTGGCTTTGAGCAAAGTATTCGTGATATTTCCGCGATGGCTAGCGGCGACGACAACGACTCGACCGAAGGCGACACACTCTACTAGGAAGCTGAATAGCCAGCGTGCGATGGATGTTGTAATCTGTGACACTGACAGTAAGAACGGGCGACCAATGATTTTTAAATTTCAATTTCTTTACCAACTGTACATATGTACAAGGGCGGTGTCCGTCAAACTTTTTTTCTTACATCGGCGGTATTATTAACCTGGCCTTCTGGCGCGATTTTCGGAATTATTCTCCGACAGACGATTTCTCATGTCGGTCTGGTCTAGAAACAATCTGTATGTGAATGCAACGCAGAAGGTGTACGCCGTGTGTGTGTGGGTGAGTGTGTGTTTTTGGCCGTGAATTTGCTTAATAATTGCACTTTTCAAAAACGTTTCGAGCATGTGCAGTACGGAAGATGCATAGGTAAAGCGAGCGCATTGGCGAAGAATTTAAAATGAAAATAGACTTATGTCAAAGCAAGTGACGTCAAATCGCCCGAATTGTTGCTGCCGAGAATCATTTACAACGAATACTCTACTCTCTGCGTTATATTTGTAAATTTTGTTGTCTGGTGGGAGAATATTTAGATACAAGTTTATTTCTGTATTTGTATATTACAACAAATTATGTATTCGTATAAGCGCATATAATTTAGCAGTGCTTCTTTGTGAACCATAAAAAGAAATTAAAAATAATTTTATTTTTAAAGATTTTTGAGTTGAGTCGAATTTTGAGATTTTTATTTAGTTTATTGTGAGTTGAAAAACTTTCGTTGTTTCTCATTATTTAGTTTTTCTTCAAGTAAACGAGAATTTCACTTTAAGTTACAAATTTTATATTATTGTTAGTTATTTTGTTGTTGAAAATATTCATTAAAATATTATGCGTATTATGTACATTTATATTATAGTTTATTATTTGTACAACTATATATTTTCCAATTCATTTTTATCTTGAGAATTTTTATAAAGTTGAATTAAATAATATTCCTTATCTTAAACTTTTCGTTTGCCATATTGAGAAAATCATTATATTAGTAAAAATTATTGCCTATCTGGCGTTATTGCATCTATAAAAAACTTAATGTTTTCACTATAATTAGCTTTATATTTTTTTTTATACATTTAATTTAATTTTTTATTTTGTATGTATTTCAATAAATTTAACTTTATCGTTTTCACGATTTTAATTTTTTTCAATTAATTTCGGTACTTTTTCATTTTATTCAATTATTTAACTTTTTTAATTTTAATTCATTTTATCTCGCTTCATTTAATTCAGTTTATATTAATTTAATTTTAAATTGCAAAGTTAATTTAAATTAATATTATTTTATTTTACTAAAATTTAATTTTTATTTTTTTATTTTTCAATCATTTAATTTAATTTAATTGGCAAAATTCTTATTATTTAATATTTTCAATAATTCCCTTTGAACCAATTTTACTTTGCTTTATTTTATATAATTTTTTTTAATTGTTTATTTATTTAGTTAATTCTTTTTTATCTATTTTTTTTGATTCTATTTTAATATATTTTAATTGATATTATTTTTTTTATTTTTAATAGTTTTATTTTATTTTTTTGGTGTTATTTTGCTAAATTAGTTTAATTTAATTTTTGATTTTTTGTTTATTTTTATTACTATTTTTATTTTATTTTATTTTATTTTGTTTATTTTTTATTTTTTATTTATTTCATTCCGTTTATTTTTTATATTGGGTTATTTAATTTTGTTTTGATTTATTTAATTTTTATTTTATATTTATAAGTTTTTTTTATTTATTATAATTTTTTTGGTTTATTTTATTTTAAGTTATATGCTTTAATATTTTTTGTTTGGTATTATTTTACTATATTTTTTTAATAATATTTTTTTTTTATTTCATTTTTTCTGTTTCCTTCTATTTTATTTTATTTGATATTATTTAACATATTTGTCTTATTTATTTATTTTATTTTTTAATTTAATTTTATTAATTTTTACTTTTTGTTTTATTTTTTTCATTTTTTATCAGTTTATTTATTTAGTTTTATTTTGTTGATTTATTATATTATATGACCTCAAGTTTTGTTTTATGATATTTTTATTTTAATTTTTTCCTTTATTTAATTTAATATTTTTTTAATAGTTTTTCTAATTTTCATTGTTTTATAAATTTATTTTTCAATATATAAATTTTATAATTTTGTATCATTTATTTTATTTCGCTTCTTTTTGTTTGGGTTTAGTTTTTTTTTTTATTTGATATTTTATTTATTTCATATTTCTAATTATTTATTTTATAAGATTATATATTATTTTATTTATTTAAATAATAAATTAAATTTATTTGATTTTATTTTATCTCATATTATTTTTTTTTTAATTTATTTTATTTCGTTGCTTATGTTTGGGCTTATTTTGTCTTCTAATTTAATATATTATTTGTTATTTATTTTATATCTTTTACTCAAACTCATTTTACTTAGCATTCGTTTTAATTAAATTTTTTCTTTTTTCTTTTTATTTAAATATGAAACTTTATTTTAATTAATTTTATTAGATTTTAATTTATATATTTAAAAAGAATATTATTGTATTTTATTTCAATTCAATTTATTTTATTTTACTTTATTCTATTATAATCTACTCCATTTTAATTTATTTTACTTTTATTTTATTATGTTTTATTTTATTTTAGTTTTATGCTAGATTTTATTTTTCATTACCTAATTTAGTTTGATTTGTTTTATTTCATTTCCTTTCCTTTTGATTACATTTATATATATTATTTTATTTTATTACATTTTATTTGATATTTTATATTTATGTGGTTTTACGCCATTTCGTTTTTACCTAGTTTTTTTTCTTTAGTTTAGTTTTGTTTATGTTATTATAATATTATTTTATTTTATTTATTTTGCGATAAATAAATTTCCTCCTTGTTTTGTTTAAATACATTAATTTTTATTTTTATTATAATCTCTATTTGCAAATATCCAAATGATGATTTATCACACTTGTACGGGCGTTATCACAAAAATTTAGCTCTAACTCTGAGCCACACTCTGCAGACACGCGCTTTTGGGAGTTAGATTTCTTGTCTTGAAAGTCTGGCTTGCGAGAAAATATGTACAAGCGTTAAGTCAGCACAAAAATGTCTCAACCAATTCAAATGAGTTTTCAAGCGCTTAAAGACTGGAGAGGGAGAGTGAGCACCTAAGCTTTACAACCACACCTTTTTCTTTGAAGTTTCACTTAATTCACGTTCGAACGAGCAAACACGGTTTTTGGGTGTGTGTCTTGTCGGAGAGTTTATAGCTAGTTTGCTAGCATTTTTTAAGCTGAATCACAGAGCCACATTAACTAACCATGAAAATTGCTACAAATTATGCAGTTGTATGTATGCTTTTTATATACATTTCGAAATGCTTTGTAAGTTATACTTTTACACACACACAAAAGGTATGAATTAAACACTTTCCACAATTTAAATAATTTATTACTTTTATTTATGAATTTCTTCTCTTAATAAATTACCACAAAATCACATTTTTCCAACGCACCAATTCAATTCACTAAGCCAACTCTCCCGTAAGGCGAAAAACACACTGAAAAACGTGTCTCCGTCTACAACTCTCGAAGGCGGCAAGCAAATAATCAAGCAGTCAAGCAGTCAAACAGGCAGCTGCTTTGCTCTACTCTGCTTATTTTGATATTTGGCTATTGAATGAATCGAGCCGATGTAGAAAACCCGCTTAGAGTGTAGCTTGCTTGTGCTCGTCTCAAAACAAATGCTCAATATGACTGTGAAACTTGTACTACAGATACTTTTTGGACTGTACGTACGTTCGTTCAGAGATTGTGGTAGTTGTGTTGTGGCAAAGCAGACTCTCAGACCACGTTCAAAAACAAACCAGGTAACCCAGTCAGCTAGTCAGCTAACCCGTCAAGCTGTCAAACGTACTCAACAAGCGCTCAGTACGAGTTGAGTGCTTTTATTTTGGTAAATTTGAGATTATGAGTGCGAATAATGAAGAGTCAGTGCCCAGTGGAACCACCCTTCGATTGTTATTGTACGTACATATGCATGACTGTAGGTGAGAACGAAGTGGTAGTGGTGGTGGTGCAAAATTTTGGGTTAGTGAAATTTGGCATTTGTTTTGGTTTTTTTTTAATGTTGGCTACTTCAAATATCAGAATTTTCAAATTTTTTGATTTTTTCAAAAATACATAAATTCTCTTTTTTACGCCCATTTCAAGCGGTTAAAGGGTTGCTTATTTATAATATAAAAACATAATTGAGATATTTACTGGATTTACTGGATTGTAAAAAGCGCTGGAAAGCTGAAACGAGGGTGGTATGTACGCACATACATATGTACATACATATATACATACATACATACATATGTATTCAACCATTTACACAGAAGCAGCACAGTAGTCCACACAAATTGCAAATATGTAGTAATAATTTTTTGGTGTAGATATACATACACGTATATATAAATATACATCTAAACATATGTATGTATGTACAACTAGCACATTGAAAAATCTGGGCAACAACAAAATCGGGAAAAATAAATATTTTGCCATAATACAGAAATACTTAAAGAAATAGAACACTCTATATACATGTGTATGTTTGTATGTTGACATATATAAGTGCAGAGAAAGACTCCCTACACCGCCCGCAAACCTTACTCACCGTATTACTGCTGTAGCTATCACTTCTGTTTATTAAACTTCGGCTGCTCAACTCAACATTTTAGTCTTTGACTCCACTTGTCGTGTACACAAAAATTTAAACACACATCTGTATGTGGAAGTGTGTGTGTGCGTTAGTATATGTTTTGCTCCAGTCAGCATCGCATTGACCCCAATATGCGCACATACGCACACAAACACACACACACACACAGGCATGCCAGCATAAATGCACGTGCTTGCAAGCTGATAAACACAGAATTGCATACATACATACTACATAACTGCATTTATTTATGTTTGTCTGCATTCTAAAAATTGTTAGTATACTGCACATGTACATACATACATACATAATTGTTAATGTGCTAAAATACCGCAACAATGCAATAGTAGGAAGAGAAAGAGTGAAAAAAAAATAACAGGAAAATGAAGTCAGGCCAGAGTTGCAACAACAATAGTAATGAAGTTTATATTGGTTGCTGCAATTGTTGTTGGCGGAGCTTTGTCGGCGGCACCAAGAAGAAGTTATGATGCAGCCATTCGCCCTTATGCGCTATATATATATATATATATATTTGTTAGCGTCTAAATAAATATATACGCTTACATAAATATGTATGAAGTACTATATATAAATAGAAGTACACATGTACATACATATATAAGTACACATGCATACATACGTATTTGCTTGAATAGGGTGAGCAGTTCGAATTTTCGATATATAAAAATAATCTTACAGCAGCCATTTCTATGACATCATTCCTTTAAGGAAAGCCAGAGAGATGGCAAGTTGCACGGGTTGGGGAATAACGACCTTCCTCACGGATTTGTTATGTCATTTGTATGATAGCTGGCGCTAATTTTATATACCCAATATTTGTAGACGTTATTAAAGTGATTTTTAGCAAGCTTCCTACGCATAGCTGCAAACGAAACTATTATATAGGGTTATTCATTTTGTGGTTTCAAAAGTACATTACTGTATTTTGAAATTCGCTAAACTAAACTGTCGAACCCAAAATGTTTTATTTTTAGCTAAAAGTCAGTCGTTTATGACATTGAAACGCTTTACAACCACAAACAAGGCGTTAAAATTGTTAAAGCCTACACATCTCTCTCGTTGAGAGAAGATTGTGGTACACGTAATTGACTAACTGCTCAAGCAAATGATAAAGCTTTAAAGAGACTGATTCTGTAAGGTCTGTGCATCATCGTTGGTCTCGGTTCACCACAAATATCGCTAGTGTAAAAGAAAGTTTAGACGCAGAGCCGAATATATCTCTTTCTCGACATTTTTAAGAGCTGGGTCTTTCTTACGGCACATTATGCGTATTTTGCATGAATTTATGAATTTATACCTTTATCCATATTAAGTCCAGCTTATACAAAAACTGAAGCGAGCTTGCACAACAATCAGTTGACGGCAATTTTTCGAACAAAATTATCTTCAGCGATAAGACAAATTTCTCACTCCAGAGATTCATAAATAACCAAAATTTTAACACGTGAGTTTCTCAGAATGCTTAAATAATTTTGGAAGGGGTAATTATACCCTGATGAGTTCTTTGGTCTAGAGTTGTGATTGCACCTTACTTCTACGAAAGGGACAATGGCGAGATGGTCACTCTCATTGTTGGTGAATGTCAATGAGTCCAATGATAGTCGATTTTTTGTTTGTCTGCATTTGAAAACATTATTTGGACAATATGTGGTTTCAATGAAATGGTACCACCTGCCATAGAACTCGAGCGAATATGGCGTTATTGCGAGAGAAATTTTACCCCACCCGCGTGATATCTCGCCTTAGCGATGTCAACTGGGCACCGAGATCGTCTAACTCGATATCGTTGCACCTTTCTTGTGGAGCTATATACATATGTATGCGAAAGACCTTGTTTATGCGGATAAACCTTTAACTCCTGAGCACTTGAAAAAACCAATAATCGTCAGGTCATGGCTGAGATCCCGCCCAAAATGTGCCAAAAAGTGATCAAAAACTCCCTCAAACGGATTAAGTTTTGCGAAAAATCGCGAAGTGATCATTTAAATGGTATAATGTTTCACATATAAGGTCAAGGTTTAAGCTTTACAATAAAAAAGGAGTTTTAGGAAAAAGTTATTGTATTTTAAATATTGTACATTTTATTTTCGTTTATTTTTGAAATCGCAAAATGGTTAATCCCATCCTTCGACAAGGTCAAAAGGAAAGAGAAAAATACTATCATATACATAGACGAATTAATAACAGCGCGACATTCATTCCTTGCTTTCGCTGTTACGTCCAATTGGAAGTACCAAGTATATCCCGGTCTTGCTCCACTTGGTCTTTTCAACGCTGTAGACATCTTGGTTTATTTCAATTTGCACCTAGCACTGTTGCTCTTTTCTTTTGATTCCATGATTCGTATCTTAGGCTATAATATTCGCCATTTCCAATGCACACAGGACCATATATTTCACGCAAAACCTTTTTCCCGAAAACGACCAACGCTGACTGTTGTCATCATCCATACCTAAGCACCATATTGCAAAACGAGAATGACGAGCGATGTTTAGAGTTTGGTATTTATTCGTTAAGAGAGAACTTTTATTTTCAATTGCCTACTCAGTCCACATGGAGTTAAGTGTGATTTTGCAGGTTCCAAGATAGGCGAAGTATTCTATGACTTCACAGTTATGACTGCCAAGAGTGACGTGGGAGCAGAGACGCGATGACTGTTCGTTTGAAGACACATTGCTGATGAATATTTCACCTCGTTTACTACCAGGCCCATATGCTTCCCTTCCTTATCTAGTTGTACATTACCAGTCCAAAAGAGGTAATCTAGCGACTGATGCGCAAAGTAGACTAAGTTTATGGAGAGACTAGTTCTTCTTCACTTGAATATATCGAGCTCGATCCTTCAGTCGATACTAAATGACCTTTCAGACAGGGCGGCTATTTAAAGTGTGAAAATATCACAAGCTGCAGAACTAAATAGCTTCTGGCCGTAATAACTTGAACATACCGTTAGTTCTGTGTAGCGAAGGGGTCTGGTAATGAAAGAGTTCAAAGAAAAATATTTCTTGCAAACAAGCTTTTGTTCCGATTTGTGGTGTGAGTCTTGATTTTTCCCTTTCAGTTTATTTTAATGAGCTTCCGAATATATGGAGGAGGAGCTTTTATTCCAGGTGAGAAACATATACGATGGAGTTGACATTATCTGCCCAGCGGCGACCGCAATCGCAGCAGCTACTCTGCCTAGGTCTAGGTAAGAATGAAGGGAAATAATGCAGCTTTGAAAGGTTTCGACGTTGTTCCCTCTGGTGGGATCGGGGGAAGAAGAAAGACCTTTAATCTATATAGGCTGGAAAGGACCCAGCTTTACTTAGTGCTCCAAATTGCGCCGAACGGATTCTTCATTTTGTGGGCTGGACTTTTATTAATTTGCTCGGACATAATCAGCGCTTGCAGCAATCAAACAAACTTCTATGAACTCCTTTAATGAACGCTAATGATTTTAATTTATACAAAAAGATTCACTTTGAAATTGCAATGTGTGTTGTTTGAAAGAAAATCGTTTAAAATTTCTTTAAAAAATATGTTTTTTTTTTACTCTTTAATTATTCAAAAAGACCTGAATTGGACTTAAACTTGATTTCGAAACGGTCCTGAAAATTGATTTTCTCAAATTATTGAAATTTTCAGTTTTAGTTTTTCAAACTAATTTTCTGTGCCTGAGGATGCCGATATGGTTAGTTTATTTGATACGAAGGAAATTGTATTAATTCAATTAGATAAAAGTTAAAGCTGTTGTGAAGGTAGCTGAAACTTCTCATCAGACGTTTTATCAATAAAATAGCTTTCAGGTCAATAATTTGCAACAGCCAACAAAGTCCTAAACAATTTTTTCGGTGATTTTAAGAAAACTAAAACTAGAAGAAACCAAAATTGATATCGACAGGACTTTTAGAAAATTTACTTGGAGAAATATCCTATAAAAACTCTGTTACAAATAAAATTAAAAATTAAGAAATTTCAAAAATTTTCGTAGGGTAAATGTGCTAATTACCGAACGATTAATTTTATTCAGC